ACTTACAACAGAAAGAACTGGAACACAGTTGCAAAAATGAGGATAGCCAATATGTAGAGCTGCAGTGAACATCCATTTGTTTCAATGTTGACATGATCAGAGACCGTATTTATATATTATCTATGTGATAATTGTGTACATATTTTTTTTCCTCTCCTTAGTTCTTATTGTGATGGGACCGCTGCCTGTTTGTGAATTGCCTGTCTGTTATTATGTGTGTTCCCCATCTTTTCGTGTATTCTGCCTGCTCCCCACTTGGGAGCGCTTCCACAAAGGGAATTTATTTGCCTTCCGAATGGGTGTCAAACCGCAAACCGCAAGGAAAACAATTAATGAGCACTCCGCTGGCTTGCCGCCATTCGTGCACAAACGCCAGCTATGGGGAACGTTCGTGGTTTGTTTCCAAACTCGTTCTTGGCCCTGACTGAATGCACACTAGAGCTGTGGTTGCCCTTTTCTATTTGTGGGTTATATCAATCTCGATCAATCACGTTTGATTACATTTCTTCTGTACCTCTACCAATAGGGGGCAGTGTTTATATAACATTGGGACATCCGGCTTAGACCCATGTCCCATGCTGGTTCTTGTTATTACCTATTTTTTTTTTTGTTTTGTTTTTTGTTTCCAATGAGCTTTTTTAGTGTTATCATAACAGTTACAGCATTTTAATTAATAGATAACATGAGAGACACACAGGTCTTACGGAAAAATAGATAACAGTATTATCCAGTATATGTTAAGAAGCGGCATTGCTAATAAACCATACATAGTGCTTTAGGTAGAACTTGCAAAGGTCAACACCCTATGGTCACAGTGGGGTTAATACTTATTTTTACCCATTCACAGGTAGGGGGCATTGGTATTCGTAGGACCGGAACACTTGGCTCAGCACACACTGTGAGTTGTGTCCCTATTTATTTTGTTTTGTTTTTATCCACTGTTGTTAGATCCTATTTCTTACCCTTTCACGCCTCTTGACTCTTTAACTTAATATTGAGTTTTTCCATTTTTTATGTATTTGTTTCATTTTAATTACAGATTGTTTAGAAACCCTTGGTTATACTTGTCAGCTTTTGTTACTTATGTTCACCAGGCCTCTTCCAGACTCCATACCTATGTATTCTATATGTCTGCCATCTTGGGCCTACAATGTTTAGTAATTATATGGTTAGGTGTTGTAACTGACAGACTAAATTTATGTTAGGCCCAAACCTGGGCCTTTACATGTGGTTAGTATTTATATGTACTGCCCATCCATCTAATCATCATCCAACCAACCACCTATCCATCCAGGTTGGCTATTCTTCTCTGCCTTGCAAGGTCCACACAATGACCCTCTCTCTGCACTACTGGTAACTAAGAACCCCTCATTACACATTTAAGCATATTCAGGCCTCCTCGGTCTGTCACGGTTTTACCTAAGCCTCGTATAATCTACAATTCCTGTTACAAACACTTGCTAGATCTCACATATTTAGCTTCCTTCTAGTAAACTAGAGATGTTATCATCTTTTTTTTTTTAAATACTTCTTGTGGAAGGACCCACAGTGGGAACTCATAATTAAATGCAGCACTACTAGGTATATCTTTCATATACATGTTGATTTTCCTAGATTTATGCTCATAATCAAAAGTTCAATTATTATCTAGGTTTCTACTATCCCTATTTATCATCCTGCTGTTGACATTTTGATCCTTAATCACAACACAGGTACATTATACCCTTACCTCAGTTAGCACTTACACCATCCTGGACATATTCCCATTAGCGTTCCCATTGTGTCTTTGGTTCCTCTCTATGATAATATTTTCTCAAGTTCAACCACACTCTTGTTGGGCAAGATGTGTACTTTCCAACATTGAACTATCAATTCGTTATGTTTCTATTGTCCTTCATTCCTGAGGGATTGATCAACTGGCAGCAAAGAGTATTGGTGTGGACCATATTCTAGTATAATTGTTAATAAGCCCCGCAAGGCTCACTTCCATTCTCACGCAAAGGTATTTGTTCATTGGCCCAACTCAAAGCTAAAGCCTCACTCAAACCTCTCTAGGTTATTAGATAGGGCTTTACCTGTCACTTACCTGTCACTTCCATCCATTTAAATTGTCACCGAGAAGCCAACATTCACGCCACTTTGTTCGGTGGCCTCAGTCCCTACCATGTTCTTGGTTTTCTTCTTAACGCTGCCCTCTAACCTTTTACGGGTATGTCTACCTTCCCAATTGTAATTTGAAAACACACCATCTCTTCTCGCCATTTAGAGCAGGTTCCCTCACTTACAGCAGCTGTGAGTTTGAGTGCACACAGTGATCTGAGCCCGGCAGGAAACGGTACAAAGTGTGTGGCTCTCACATCACAGCGAGAGGAGGAGACTGATTTCCATCTTGTGAGGTATCATACTTAGCCATCTCGATGGAGAAGCAAATCTGTGTCTTTTCAAATTATCCTATATGGGTTGACTGTGCTGTGATTGTGTTCTGTGGGTGACTGCGCGAGAGGGTGATTGTCTAGTTATGCAAAAAAAAAAAATTCAAAAATTATATATATATATATATATATATATATATCCAAAAACTGGTCAGGTACAACAATACTCAATAAACAAAGTGCTGATTCCCAATTATAAATGTGTATTGGAGGAAAAAAATATTTATAAAGAAAAAAGTGCTCCCAATTGAATGGAAATTTATTGATGTGTTGATGCTTTCATGCCGATTAACGTTAATATGATAAGACAGGAAAAAAGAGGAGGAAACCTCTGTGATTGGATAAAAAGGGATATTGGTGCTGTAATGGTGAGATAGTAGCTGTAGTGGGGGAACAGGAGCAGTGGTTGAGAGGGAACAGGGGCTGTGGTGGGGGGACAGTGTGGGGATAGTGTGTGGTGGGGGGGCAGGGGCAATGGTGAGGAATGGGGCTATAGTGGGAAGACAAGGGCAGTAGTGTGTGATATAGATATGGGCTGTGGTGGATAGATAATGTCAGTGGTGAGGGGACAGGTGATGTGGTGGGGGGATAGTTGCTATTTTGGGGGATAGGAACTGTAGTGGGAACAGATTGTGGCTGTAGGGGGCAAGATAGGACTGTGAAAAATTATTCCGCAGACATTTTTTAATTCACAGCAGCCCATTAAGAAGGGGGCAGGGTCAGAGAGCTGTTTGTGATGTGGTGTTTTGTGTTATTTTCTGTTGTGTTGTGTTTGTGTTGTAAAATGTGTGGCTATTGGCTGTAGAGAATGAGCAAGTGAATGAGTGAAGGGGGCATAGTGTGATGTGTCAAGTATGTGCATAGGGGCTGTAGTGTATCTTTGTATTGGTGATGTAGTGTGTGTGTAGGAGTTGTAGGGAGTGTGTTTATGGAATGTAAAGTGCGTGTTTGCATAGAGGGGATCTTGTGTGTACATAGGGGATTCAGAGTGACAGAAATGTAGTATGTGTCTATATGGGATCTATTAAGTGCGTAGGGAATCTAGTGTGTGAGTGAGGGCTCAATGTGTGTGAGGTGTTCAGTATGTGTGTGAGGGGTTTATGTGTGTGTAAGGGATGCAATGTGTGCGTGAGGTGTACAATGTGAGGGAGATCTTTGAAATCAACCCCCCAGCTCATCATGGCATGCAGCAGGGCTGGTGCTTGGATGGTGCCAGCCCTGTATGGGCTGACCGGGAGATCCTCTGATCTCTACTGCCAACCTTGGCCCATGGCCAACCTGGCCCATCAGGCATTTGCTGTTTTGCATACGACCAGTCAGGAGGGGGATACTGGCTATAGTGAGAGGACAGGGGATGTGGTGGGGTTATAGGGTATGTGATGGGTGAATAGAGGCTGTGGTGGGGGAGATACTGGCCGTGGTGGAGGCAGGTGCTGTGGTGGGGGGGCAGATGCTGTTTTGGGGGGTGAAAGCTGTGGTGGGCTGTGCTGGGGTGGTACCAGCTATAGTGTTAGGACAGGGGCCTGTAGTATGAGGACTGGGATTGTAGTGTGGGGAACAGGAGCTGAGAGGTTGCTTAAAAAAAGTTTGATAACAATAAATAAATAAATTATGTGTATTCCCCCCTACCTGATACTTATCTTGGACCTGATTCCTGGGTGATCCCTGGTGGGAGATGTTGTTTTAACCCATAACCCCTTGCTTGCCTGCTGCCCCGAGACAGTAGCCTCGGTAGCCTTGTGGGAAATCCAGCCCTGTTTATAACTGCAGTATAGTCCTCTTTTTTCCTTTTTAAAAAAACACCCACTGGCCAATCTAACTGTATCTTAAAATACAATAGTACCAAACAACAATAATAATAATAAAAACAATCTTAATTCAAAACCACAAAATTATTATTAATAGCATCTACATAGCACCAATATATATCACGCCATTTAACAATTATCCCTGCCATAACCAGCTGATAAGGAGAAATATTGGTTTGTTTTACAATACTGTTTTCTTTTCTGTAACTTTATTATTTGGTAAATGATATTTTAAACGTGTTTCTGTCCAATCAAAAGTTCTATTAAATAATGCATTATCTATACATGCTGAAATGGAAAAATACATCTAAACATAACGTTACAGGACACCCAAAATACTTTGCAGGCTTTTAATTTAGTTCTTTGTTATGAAGTTTTCATAAATAAATCTGGATTTCCTTTGGAGAAGTCTTCTGTAAACTTTAATTAACTTGAGGAGTTCCGACACTAGAGTTTTTAATAAATTATCCCTGACTGTTTCAAACAGATGGTATTTAAAGGGATACTGTATTCCTTGCACTACCGATCCCTCTGCCTTCCCCCTACCTTACGCCTCCCCTCCCAGGTAAGTAAAGGGTTAAAAAAAACCTTTATTTACTTACCTTATCCCAGCGCTGATGTCCCTGAGGACGTCCAGCATCAGATAACGGACCAAAAGTCCGCTTGGATTCTGGAAACCTTCTAGTGGCTGTCTGTTACACAGACACTGAGGGCAGACGTCAAGCTCCAATGTAAACATTTAACTTTCTCTGGAACTGCAATGTTTTACATTTCAGCACTGAGTGCAAAAGAGCTGAAGTGGTCTGGGTGCCTACAGTGTCCCTTTAATGCCTGGCTCCGAGATCACAGGAACAAGGAGCCAACAAACTGCAGGAAAAGCTGCTCAGAAAGGTTTGGAAATGATACAACCGACACAAAAACTTGGTAGGACACCATTTCCTCTCCTAGTGTTTTGTTATCTTATTTTTATAGTAACATGCAGTCATCATAAATACACAGACTTTAAAAATCTGTATCAGAAAGAAGAATCATAAAGTAGAAAACAGAGACTAGTCCGTGTCTTGCTTTGTGTCCAATTAGGTTCTCATTAAAAGAAAAAAATGTCTTCACACCTCCCTCAACCCTCCTTCCCCACGCCTGTCCCCTCTCCTCGCCTCCCTCCTCCTCTCTTACACAAGCACGTTATGAAAGCCTTACATAGCTCACACTCTGTTTGTATCTTATTGTGTCCACATGCCTAGTGGTGTCTTCTGTCTTCCCTCAGACTGGACATATTAACATAATCCCTGCTACTTTCACACCCTACCCTGCCTGCGTAACATCCTGATGTGGTGTGGAGTTATCCACTAAAGTGGGAATTGTAGATACAAATAATCTGAATGAAGAGAGATCAGCAATTTTCCAATTTGAAATTCCTATTGAATTCTTTTTAAATTCACGACAAGTCACGCGTCAGTAAATAACCCTGTCTGATTAACCCTTTCAGTTCTGGGAAACTGAGAAATGAATTTGCTAAATTCTAACCAGAAGCCAAGCTTGGGGTATAGAAGAGCTGAAGATTTACCATTGATTATGTTGATACATTTGTATTTACGTGTTTCAATCTATCACAGTTCATTGTTTAGTAAATAACCCCATGGTTTAGGGACACTCCCAGCCAATAGAAAAGCTGGTGACTTTTCTGTGAGGGCGTTTCCAGCTCAGCTGGAAGCCAATCAGGAGTGGACACAGAAATGTAAAGACATTTAACCCTTGCAGGGTTTGTCACAATGCTCCAGCTTGATGGAGTATAGCCAAATTAAGAATGGCTAAACTGGACATATAGCTGGGATTTTAGCCTCAATGTTGCCATTTGGATTTAATTTGCTACAATTTGGTGTTTAGTGAATAACTCTGTTTAAGTGCCAGAGAGCTGGGCAATAAATGCTGACACATTCAGAGTTGTTTACAAGACAAAGTCTATGGTCCCAGTGTTCACTGATCGGCCATGGACCTCGCTGTGTCTTTGCTCCTTGTCTGTGCTGTCACTTTCTTGATATTGATTTTTACCCGGAGCCGAAAACCCTCCAATCTGCCCCCGGGACCCACGCCTCTGCCTCTGATTGGGAACATCCTGCAGCTGAATTTTAAGGATTTTGTGAAAGATTTTGTGAAGGTCAGTGGAGGTTCTGCAGATTCGGCCTGGGATTGTCTTTTCAGGGAGACTGCCAGCATTAATTCAGATTGTTAAATCAGTGTATGTGTACAGGACCCAATGCACTCCCCTGTCTGGCACTCGAAAGGTTAACTGGTCACAAACTATCTGACTGCTTTATATACATGTGCAGATTAGGAGAGTTCGTCATTCTGGGTGTAAATCTGTATTGTTTCACATTATTCTCTAAAATACCACTAAATATAATATATTAATCTATACATCAATGATAAAATGTCACATTTATAGAGCAGAAAACTGGCAAACTTTTTATATATATTAGGCCTCTGTTCCTTTATCAGAATGTGTCCATTTAATTCTCTGTATTCTGTCTATTGTACAGCGCTGCAGAATATGTGGCGCTATAAAAAATATATATTAATATACAAACAGGCCTGTCCTGAACTTTCCTTCTATCTGCATGTCACCAGGCGACAATGTTTGTCTGTTAGGTGATCAAGAGCAATAGAAGTTATAGGGAGAGTTATATGGAGTAATAGGAGGAGTTATAGGGATGGTTATATGGAGTAATAGGAGGTGCTAAAGGGATGGTTATATGGAGTAATAGGAGGGGTTATAGAGAGGGTTATAGGCAGTAATAGGAGGTGTTATAGGGAGGGTTATATGGAGTAATAGGAGGAGTTATAGGGAGGTTATATGGAGTAATAGGAGGAATTATAGGGAGGGTTATATGGAGTAATAGGAGGAGTTATAGGGAGGCTATATGGAGTAATAGGAGGGGTTATATGGAGTAATAGGAGGGGTTATAGAGAGGGTTATAGGGAGTAATAGGAGGAGTTATAGGGAGGTTATATGGAGTAAAAGGAGTTATTGGGAGGGTTATATGGCGTTATAGGGAGGGTTATATGGAGTAATAGGAGGGGTTATAGGGAGGGTTATATGGAGTAATAGGAGGAGTTATAGGGAGGGTTATATGGAGTAATAGGAGGGGTTATAGGGAGGGTTATATGGAGTAATAGGAGGAGTTATAGGGAGGGTTATATGGAGTAATAGGAGGAGTTATAGGGAGGTTATATGGAGTAATAGGAGGAGCTATAGGGAGGGTTATATGGAGTAATAGGAGGAGTTATAGGGAGGTTATATGGAGTAATAGGAGGAATTATAGGGAGGGTTATATGGAGTAATAGGAGGTGTTATAGGGAGGGTTATATGGAGTAATAGGAGGGGTTATAGGGAGGGTTATATGGAGTAATAGGAGGGGTTATAGGGAGGGTTATATGGAGTAATAGGAGGAGTTATAGAAAGGTTATATGGAGTAATGGGAGGAGTTATAGGGAGGGTTATATGGAGTAATAGGAGGAGTTATAGGGAGGGTTATGTGGAGAAATAGGAGGAGTTATATGGGAGGTTATATGGAGTAATAGGAGGATTTATAGGGAGGTTATATGGAGTAATAGGGGGAGTTATAGGTTATAAGGAGCAATAGGATGAGTTATAGGGAGGTTATATGGAGTAATAGGGGGAGTTATAGGGAGGGTTATATGGAGTAATAGGAGGGGTTATAGGGAGGGTTATATGGAGTAATAGGAGGAGTTATAGGGAGGGTTATATGGAGTAATAGGATGAGTTATACGGAGGGTTATATGGAATAATAAAAGGAGTTATAGGATAGGTTATATCTAGTAATAGGAGGAGTTGTAGAGAGGGTTATATTGCATAGTAAGCGGCGTTATAGGCAATGTTTTATATAGAGTAATAGGAGGGGTTATATTGAAGGTTATATGGAGTAATAGGAGATGTTATATGGTGTTATATATTAATGATGCACACACCCATGGACAGCAGGACAAAGTTTAAATATTGATTAAGGAGGATCTATTGTCCTCAACTCTACTATGGCAGTGGGTGAGGGCTATAATATTAATAAGGGGGATCTAATGTTCCTCTCTTCCATTACCCAGGGAGAGCAAGCAGGCACTAACTAACAATGGACATGCCACAAGGGCTATAATATTAATAAATGGCAGAGACGTAGTGTTCCACTCATTTATCAATATTATAGCCCCAACCTAACCATGCTGGGCCTTTTATTAATATTATAGCCATAGGAGCTGAAGAGTGATACAAGGACTTTTGTTATCAATATTAGAGCCACATGCGAGGATGTCAGGGGAATACTATGCCCCTATTTCCTTTCAATTAAGCCTTCATCAACTGCCCATGGAGGGTCAAGGAATGGACACAATGTCAATACGTTGAAATTACTGAATTTCAGGTTTATCATTTTTAAAGAAGTAAATATGAGTATTGCAAATTTAGTTGAAATCAGCTCAACCAAGTTTCAAGCAGTCTGGAGGAAGATTAATTGCATGGAGTCCATCGGTCGTCTTCATAGTGTATCCGACTAGAAGAGTCAATAGCATAAATTGGTGCTTAGCAAAACCTCAAAAAGCTCTACCACTGGTTTCCAGAATCTGATCAAATCTGAAAACTGCAACATGAGATGAAGCAGTACTCGGCGCAATACTATTTTCATTGAACATTTCTTTCCATTTTGTCCAAACAACATAAGCTCACCACCCTTTTCCTCTTTTCTGTCTTAGATTGGAACTAAATATGGTCCAGTGTCTATGGTATATTTGGGACCACGACCAGTGGTCATATTAAATGGTCACGATGTGGTGAGAGAAGCTTTTTTGGACAATGGTGAAGTATACAGTGATCGAGGAAAGCTTGCATTTGCTGAAATGCTTTTCAATGGATATGGTAAGCTGGATCCATGGCCTATTTTTTTTTTTTTTTCTGTCGTATAAAACAAATTTGTATTGCGGCATGCATTACTTCAAACAGGTGACTTCCTGCATAGATGTGTGTAACTATTTTGGCTCCTATTTTGGAGGAGGTATATGTGATGTCCAGATAAGTATTTACAAATAAGTATAGCATTTTAATTAGTACATTTTGGTGGCATTTTTACACTATGCACTAATATTTAGTCAAGCTGATGTTGGCCATAACATGTAGTGTGAGGAACAGAGTTGGTTTTAATCAATTCTGTTTGTGACGAAGTGCACTTGGTCCTGGAGAGGCCTGCTTGCCAGCCTCCTGCCCTGTGACTATGGCCCCTGGGAGATTGTACCCTTTTAAACCAACATTTGGGCTTATGGACTTTTATTGGACTGTGTATGGCCCTTTAAGAACTCTGTCTAGGCACATTGTGACTTTGATGAACAATGCCCCTTTAAGACTATGGCCCCTGGAAGATATTGCCTGTTAAAAACTCTATTTTAGCAGATTGGATTTTAAAAGACTCTTGCTGCCCCTTTAAATTGTATTGGAGCAGTTCTACAGCTTTAAATTGACACTTCAGATGCAGCTGAAGTAGTCGAAATGGCCGCCATTCGACAAACTAACACGTGGCGGCTGACATCTTTGTTCATTCGGACGCAGTCAGTGGTGTGTGCCCCTGAATCTATGGAACTGAAATCTGCTACACATTTCCGCGAACACCTCTGACCCGTACGTTCTCCCTCCACTTAGTCTCTGGCCACAGTGTCAAAGTCCCATTCGAAGATTCGAACGCACATTCGAATGGGACTTAGTCAAATTGACTGACCGCACAGCCCAAATCTATGGAACTGTTTTGGGCCGGAAAATGTGCTTGCGGTCGTGATGTGATGTATACTTTTAAAGTTATGAATATTGTATAAAAACTGTATATTTTCTGCCTGTGATAATTAAGTTAGTCTATTGTGTTGAGATAATTGTATCACAGGCAGAGGGGATGATTTCTGCTGGAATGAATGGGAGTGGTTTACTTTATTGTATGTGTTGTAATGTTTTTATTGGTTGTTCTGAAAAACCCCTGTGGGTGGTTCTATGTATGGAAAACCTGCATAAAAGAAGGCCCTTTGGTGCCAAGTAAACAGATCTTTTTGACCTTCAATACGTAGCCTTGTCTCGTTATTGGAGGGAACTGCTATAATCACACTGGGGATTGCTATGCTCTGCATACTCCCTTGAGCTTTAAATCACCTAGCTTTTCGAAGAGCTGTTCCTGATACGCTCTCCTGGAGGTGAGGTCTTCCCCACACAGTCCTGGATGCTGGAGGTTCATACAGGGTGGAAGGAAGAGGTCTTTTCTTACATGGTCCTGGAGGACAGAAGCTGATCCAGGGTGGAAGGAAGACGGCAAGGCTCCAGTTAAGCTACGGTGGTTGTGGAGTCTGTGGTGGTTGTGGTGTCTGGTGCGGTGCTTGTGGTCCTTGGCGTAAGCTAGAAAGTGCCCATCAACGGAAGCTACTCTGTCAGAAGAACGGGGAGTTCCATTACACTGTTCAAGACACACAAAAAGAAAACATGCTGTCCTGCAATGGTTTATGTTTTTCTATAAAAAAAAAAAAAATATATATATATATATATATTTTACATATTAATTACCGGATAGTTGAATTAAGTTAAATATTATGGTAAACAAAGAATCTCCTAAACTTACAGGGCTCCTCTTCAGTAATGGGGAGAGGTGGAAACAGATGAGACGGTTTTCGCTCAGCACCCTGAGAAATTTTGGAATGGGGAAAAGGAGCTTAGAAGAAAGAGTGCAAGAAGAAGCAAAATGTCTGGGGGAAGAATTCCAAAAGAAGAAAGGTCTGAGAAATAATTGGCAGTATATGTAATCTTGAATATATTAAAGCTTGGCTGTATGTTCGATCACTTTCTTCTGAAACTCCTCCTTAGCCCAAAGTGGATTAAATAAGTGATTAAAGATGTTCTGCCCTGTAAAGTCCAGTGCCCTTCTCTTTGTGCTTTATTCCTTATTTCTGTCCACCTGGGTCAATGAACATCTACAACATTGTGTATTTTTTTTCACGGTTTCCTCATCTTGATAATGTCTGTTTTGTCAATTTCCCCTTCTCTCTCATCTATGTCAACAATTTGAATATATAAAAGTATACAATTTTATTTTACTTTTTTTTTTTTTTTCGTCATTGCTTTTCCAGTTTCTCAGCTCTCACTCTTTGAATTTTTCCTACAGGAGAACTATTTGATCCCACTTACCTATTGAGTCTAGCTGTGTCCAACGTTATATGTTCAATTGTTTTTGGGGATCGCTTTGACTATGAAGACAAGGATTTCCTAGCTATGCTGGCTTTGATGAAGGAGACATTCCAGATTTTGACTTCACCATGGGGTCAGGTTAGTTTGTGTCCAATTATTGCAGAGATTGACAAACTTCTCTCAATTCAGAGCTGGGAAGGCCAAAATGGAAGCCATATTGTTATCATACAGGCATCCACATAGCTCCCCAAATTACGGCGCTGTTTAGCAGATAGCGTCTTTATTTGGTGTCTTTAAATATGGCAATCCCACAGAAGGATTATCACAGTTTCTATTAAACAAATGAAAGATCAAAATAGAAAGGGTGAAAAAAGCCTGTGGCGATACGGCCCTGGAGTCTCTGGCACTGCCAGTTTAGGCACACTATTGTCTGTGGGTTTCTATTACCTAACCTGTACCACTAATTGCTAGGATTCAGCTTTGGTAAAGGCAGGATATATACTGCAGAGTTGCTCCGGGTACTACAGTCTATTCTACTGCAAAGGTCCACTGGCAATTGCTGAATGAGTAACACTCTATAGTGGGCGATAGATGACTGTAGAGTTACTTCAAGAAAGAGACACAACCAGCTTATTTTTGATGTAAGCAGGAGCAAGAAAGGGTTATCTTGATCGGCCATCTAGATATCTGGACCTGCATAGAGAGCTGCTCTCCCTCGCCCTCGCTTGACCCACTGCTGAATATACATACACACTGCTCTGTGTATAATACAGGTACACACACAATACAGAGATGATTATGTGCATTGCAAACAGTATCTCACAGCGTCCGTTATCTTTGCCTGACAATGCACCTTAGGGCGCAGTGAGCTTGCAACTTGCACAAAACAAATCAGGACGATCAGGCCATCCATCACAAAGTCCTATTGACCTTTCAGCTGTTTTTTAGTAGATTTTTAAATTTCAAGAGCAACCAAACTTTTTCTAAATTTAGACTTGTTTCAAATTTTATAATTTCTGAATTTTGTACGAGCCAAGATTCAAGAATGAATGAAACGAAACACTTTTTTTTTTCCACTCCTTCCACATCGCAAGTTTTGTCAATGAATTGATTGCTGTCAAATTCTCACTCATAATTGTAAAGTGTTGCGGAACAATTTGGCACTAAATGTAGAAGATGATGATGATGATGATAATAAGAACTGCAAATAACCGCTATTTTAAAGTGGTGACATTTAATTGCATTCACAGATTAATATGGACATTGTATGCTGCATGATGTGAGAACTTCAGAAGGACTCTCAGTCCGTACCATTTCAGCAAAAACATTAAAGCAGTATTAGAAACAATCCCAATCTTTTAGAACAAAAATGTATATACAAAATTAGAAACATAGAATGTGACGGCAGATAAGAACCATTCGGCCCATCTAGTCTGCCCAATTTTCTAAATACTTTCATTAGTCCCTAGTCTTATCTTATAGTTAGGATAGCCTTATGCCTATCCCACGCATGCTTAAACTCCTTTAAATTCACATAGATGTTATGGTAAGTTTCTGTAGACAAAATTTCAAAAGCTTTAAATGAATTTCTTATACAATGGCTCTCAGAGAATTATTGAGATGAGAAGTTTAGGGGAGTCATGCTCGTCCAATCAAATTTTTCCCATTGGTAGGTATTGCATACAATGCTACCCTATAGTCAGCATTTGATGACGTTTGACAGTGAATATCACATAACAGAGTCAAACTCTGTAGATTTTGTGGAAGAATTATCTTAATTTTTTGTGCCACAGACAGAATGCTAAATTATGAATCAAAATGGCAAAATTAATAATCTTTCCTTGCCCAATGCGTTTGGTTCGTGATTTGGTTACATTTCAGATCGGAGTGTGGGGATTTGTACAATCATGCGAACGGCCCCAATTCAGACAAATTGCTGTTTGTAATAAAACAAATATCCAAGTCTATCTATGAATCAGTAATTTCTTCATAATAAACTATATTATGAATAAATAACTTATTGAGATGTTTGCACTTAAATTACACATACAAGTACAATCACAATGACAGGTTCACTAATATGCACTTATTTTGCTCACCCCACACCATGTCTCACTATTTTATTTTTATTTTTTTATTTTTTTATTATTCCTATGCTTGCTGTATCCAATCCACACCAGCAAATCATTCATTTAGTCATTAAAAAAAAAAAATAACAAGACAATTTTGTTGACAGTGCCATTGGTCTAAAACTATTAAGAAATCCATTAATTGTATCTGTAGATATTTCTTTGAATAGAGGAAAAGGTATTTTGTGTGTGTGTTTTTGTTTGTTTTATTTATATAATTTTTTTTTTTTTAAATCCAATATTTTACCCAGATCTTCAACTTAGCCCCCAACTTCTTCAAGCCCTTTCCTGGCTCCCACCATAAACTTATTCGGAATTTTAATGTTTTTCGAGAATACGTGATGGAGAAGGTGAAAATTCATGAAGAGACTTTGGATGAAAACTGCCCCAGAGATTACATTGATTGCTTTATCATCAAGATGAAGGAGGTAGGTGTAGGGAAAATGGAAAAAAAAAAAATAACCTAACTAATAATAGGTTTGTTTTATATTTGGAAACCTAAAAAAAAGAAATAAACTCGCCTTATATGTAGTGTTGCCCTGCGCTCGTTGCTGTGAGATCTTCATTCTCATAGAGAAGCACTGAGAAGGATTAAAGGAACATTATAGTCACCTAAATTACTTTAGCTAAATAAAGCCGTTTTAGTGTATAGATCATTCCCCTGCAATTTCACTGCTCAATTCACTGTCATTTAGGAGTTAAATCACTTTGTTTCTGTTTATGCAGCCCTAGCCACACCTCCCCTGGCTATGATTGACAGAGCCTGCATGAAAAAAAAAACTGGTTTCACTTTCAAACAGATGTAATTTACCTTAAATAATTGTATCTCAATCTCTAAATTGAACTTTAATCACATACAGGAGGCTCTTGCAGGGTCTAGCAAGCTATTAACATAGCAGGGGATAAGAAAATCTTAATAAAACAGAACTTGCAATAAAGAAAGCCTAAATAGGGCTCTCTTTACAGGAAGTGTTTATGGAAGGCTGTGCAAGTCACATGCAGGGAGGTGTGACTAGGGTTCATAAACAAAGGGATTTAACTCCTAAATGGCAGAGGATTGAGCAGTGAGGCTGCAGGGGCATGTTCTATTCACCAAAACTGCTTCATTAAGCTAAAGTTGTTCAGGTAACTATAGTGTCCCTTTAAGAGCGTTTAAACTTTCAAGGACCTTTTTAGGAAATTCCTCTAGGTGCTTTCAGCCTGGCAGTCAAAGCAGATATGTTCTCTTACGTATAAACAATGCCTTTTCGTAAACATGGCAGAGATATACTTTTTTTTTTTTTTTGAGATTCCGGCAACAGAATCTTGAGCTAACACTCCACAATGCAAAGCATTTTGGAGCAAATTATTAGCGTGCGTACTTCCAATTAACTGGACTTTAGTCTTTTATATACCGTAATTAATTATAAACTCAAAGCACATTTCTCTTTTTGTTCCTCAGGAGAAAGATAATCCTAATTCCGAGTTCATCTATGAGAACTTGTGCGTTAACCTGATTCAGCTATTTTTTGCAGGAACAGAGACCACCAGCACGACCCTGAGATATGCAATCCTCATTCTCCTGAAACATCCAGAGATACAGAGTAAGAACTGGGCCACTAACCCATCTACAGGCATGATGTAAACTGCAAGTTTTACATTACACATTAGTAAATAATCCTGATAGCAACTCTACATCTTCTACGCTCTCACTACTGACTGAGTAATCATTTGAAATAACATGATCCAAATGGCAAAATGATAGTGTTTAGCATCATTATTGTTGGTGCATAGTCATAAGAGTGTCGGCATCACCGCACTATTCGTAATGAGAGTGTTTTGATGTCAAATGAATGATACGGGTTTAATTAGTAGACAGGTTAAAAATAAAACTGATGTTTAATGAATGATGGAAAGAACGAATGTTCAGTTCCGCATTTTCATTCACCACCACGCATGCGATGCTGCAACCAATGACAATGCAGTGAGCATTTTGTGAACAGATCATTATGCAGTCCTAGGGAGTGTTTTATCAACCAATCATTTGTCAATTTTCTGCACAATTTGACCAACAGAAGACTGCCTCTCAGTTTTTCATCATATCTTGATCCTGGAACGCTGAGTGTGAGACAGTGAACTAGCATCATTGTGCTGGTGGGCGTGTGTTGTCAATTGGGTTTTTTCAGGTTAGAGCTAGTAGCTGATAGAATCAAGAGTTTGAAGAGAATTAATCTTTCCCTAGGGTAGGTATTCCCATGTTAGTTGAGGGTTGCTTATGGCATTTATAGTCCATAGTAAATTTAATGAGGGTACTAGGTAAGTGTATGTTCTTTGGATTTTGTAATACAGATTGGGGTACACCACTACAAATTAATGATAATTTGCTCATTTTAATGCCCAACTGTTACAGTGCCACATTATATATTTTTTTCTTCACATATACATTACATTTTATTTTGATTTTGCAGAGCAAATACAAGACGAGATTGATACTGTTATAGGGAAAGCCCGGAACCCATCAGTCGGAGATCGGTTAATGATGCCATACTTAGATGCTGTAATTCATGAAATCCAGAGATTTGCAGATATTTTACCGCTTGGGCTTCCGCATGCTACATCAAAAGATACAAGCCTCAGAGGATACACTATCCCAAAGGTTAGTAAACACAAAAAGATTACCATGATTCAAAATCTAAATGAACCATCTAGAAGCCATCAAGTCATTAAACAATACTTGCATGCTGTACCGGTTAAGGAAACCCCCATTGTCCGTATTCATGCTTCAACATCTTACTTGGTATCCATGGGACACAGTGCCCCACTTCCACTACTTCAGCCAGAGACCTCTGTCTGAGCTAACCCTGTTGATGGTAACCCTCTCAACCAATGAGCTAGCCTTTCAAGCACTCAGGCTGAGGTAGTGGAGGTGGGGGGCAGGGGAGGGGTCAAACATCCTGCTTACCATATGTCTACCATCTTCCTCGCCATGTGTCCTCCTCACCATGAGACACTGCTATATGTAGACACTTGGTGGGTGGATGGGTCAAGCTCAGGCTATATGTAAACACTTAGTGTGAGGCTGGAAGGGGATTGTGTTTAATTGGTGGTAGAATAGGGAAAGAAAGTGTGAGAATGGTAATCAAGACTAGATAAAGATATTGGTGTAAACAGACTCAGCTTACATAATGTGATGTTATATGTGTTCAAGGAGTGGTAGATTAAAAAAGAGGCAGTGGCGTATGTAACGGACCGTTTTGCACACAAGGGGTAAAAACCGTTTAGGCGATCGGCCCCCTTTCCAGAGATACAGGCACAGCTACTGCAGAACATCAAACTCCCAAACTGGATACAAAATAGCACTCCAACTCCCGAACTGGAACCTCCCAAATAGCTGCTAGCAGACGAACAGGAAAAGCAGACAATCAGCTTACACTCCTGGCAATCAGTCTCTAACAGCATACAGTGAATCCCCCCAAGAACGAGACAAGGCTCCGTGTTGAGGGTCAAGCAGTGGTCTGAGGTGCTGGCACACCCAGCCTGGTTTTTATTACAGTCTTGCAAATACAGGACCGCCCACAGGGAGGTATAAAATATCCAGTAACATATTAGTTACAACTCACAGATTCCCTCCCCCTTATCCTGAGAGGTAACCCAATTACCTCTTCCTTTTTACCACAATGCATCCTGGCTTCCTCTCCTCTGCCCAGGAGATAATTGAGAAGTAATTAAATTATCTCCCAGGACAGAGACAAGACTCCATTATGCACATGGTGACACAAAACAAGCATTACTGTAAAAATACACCAGGTAAGACACATTACATTAGAACTATACATTTAACATATCCCCAGATAGCTCAGGTCTGAGCGCACATTATTAAGTGAATGGCGCTCAGACCACACGAATACAGTTTAATCGCCATGGAGCCAAAGTCTTTACAGTCAGTTTCATATGAATGGGCTCCATGGGATTCCTATCTGGGGTATAACACATTCAAACAAATCTACCGAACCCCAGGCAGAAAAGCACGAATGAAGCTTTTCTGCAGGTAAAAAAGATGTCTTTTAACAGGGGGCCATAGTCCAAAGGCAGCAGGCGAGCAACCAGGCTTCTCCAATGCAATGTGGCGAGATTGGTCTCGTCACATCTCTCCCCTTTTCCAAACAGACTAACAGGGTATCTGACCTCCTGCCGGTCAGTGCCCTTGTTAGTCCAGCAGCCCACCCACAAAACACAATCAACAGCACAGCCCACCCACAATAAATAGTTACTGCACCTGGGTAGAGGAGAAGCTTGTCCATGTCCAGGTGCCTCACCACGGCTGTGCTGGGTACGGGTACGCTGACTTGGTGGGGTGCTGCGTGGGCAGAGACCAGCGTCACTCTGCCCTGTTGCCAGCGCTACTGGGAGGGTAGCCTGGTTGAAGCCTGGTTGTTGGAGGGGGAGACCGACTGTCTCCCCTTTGGATACTCTAAGCTGTCGCTGGGGAGAGGGGGTAACAGGCTCCTCTCCCGATAGAACACTCTGCCGCTGGGGAAAGGAGACTGAGCTCTCTATTCCCTGCCCATTAATGATCCGCCGCTGGGGAGAGGTGGTAGCAAGCTCCTCTCCCATACATACTTTCATCCTCTGTGGAGGGAGACCGACTGTCTCCGCTCCCAATACAGTGTCCTGCTGCTGGGAAGGGGAGACTGGGCTCTCTATTCCCTGCTGGATACTCTGCCGCTGGGGACTGGAGACTGGGCTCCCAATTCCCAACCAATAACACTGCTGCTGGGGAATGGAGACTGGGCTCCCAATTCCCGGCACATCACTCGGCCGCTGGGGAATGGAGACTGGGCTCCCAATTCCCAAAAAATCACGCTGCTGCTGGGGGGCAGGAACAACTACCTCTGCCCCTGTAGCTCAGCCTGCCGCTGGGGAGGGAGGACGCTGCTCTCCTCTCCCTGCACTTCACACTGCCTTCCCGGCATATCACTCTGCTGCTGGGGGGCAGGAACAACTACCTCTGCCCCTGTAACTCAGCCTGCGGCTGGGGAGGGAGGACGCTGCTCTCCTCTCCCTGCACTTCACACTGCCTTCCCGGCATATCACTCTGCTGCTGGGGGGCAGGAACAACTACCTCTGCCCCCTGTAACTCAGCCTGCCGCTGGGGAGGGAGGACGCTGCTCTCCTCTCCCTGCACTTTACACTGCAGCTGGGGAATGGAGACTGGGCTCCCAATTCCCGGCATATCACACTGCCGCTGGGGAATGGAGACTGGGCTCCCAATTCCCTGCATATCACACTGCCGCTGGGGAGAGGAGACTGGACTCTCTCTGTCCCGCAACTGTAGCTGCCGGTGGAGGTCCACCCACCGTGGCAGCTGACCGTCACCCTCTGCCTGGTACAGCAGAGTCTTGAATACTAGACTCCTCACGAACTTCACGGATTTCTCAGCTGGATTAGGTCCGAAGAAGTTCAGCCGCAACCACATCATACGGTCAAATTCCTGTACAGAGTATCTGTTCTCCACTGCTGGTTCCATTCTGTTGCTGTCAGGGTCGCTGTACTGAGACATGCGTTGCCCTCAAATTGTAAAATCCACGGAATGGTGTCTCCTGTAGCTGTCCTTCTGGCTGTAGGAACGATCCCGCCGCTTGCCACCAATTGTAACGGACCGTTTTGCACACAAGGGGTAAAACCGTTTAGGCGATCGGCCCCCTTTCCAGAGATCCAGGCACAGCTACTGCAGAACACCAAAACTCACGAACTGGATACAAAATAGCACTCCAACTCCCGAACTGGAACCTCCCAAATAGCTGCTAGCAGGCGAACAGGAAAAGCAGACGAACAGCTTACACTCCTGGCAATCAGTCTCTAACAGCATACAGTGAATCCCCCCAAGAACGAGACAAGGCTCCGTGTTGAGGGTCAAGCAGTGGTCTGAGGTGCTGGCACACCCAGCCTGGTTTTTATTACAGTCTTGCAAATACAGGACCGCCCACAGGGAGGTATAAAATATCCAGTAACATATTAGTTACAACCCACAGATTCCCTCCCCCTTATCCTGAGAGGTAACCAAATTACCCCTTCCTTTTTACCACAATGCATCCTGGCTTCCTCTCCTCTGCCCAGGAGATAATTGACAAGTAATTAAATTATCTCCCAGGACAGAGACAAGACTCCATTATGCACATGGTGACACAAAACAAGCATTACTGTTAAAATACACCAGGTAAGACACATTACATTAAAACTATACATTTAACATAGACCTGATAGCTCAGGTCTGAGCACACACTATTAAGTAAATGGCGCTCAGACCACACAAATACAGTTTAATCGCCATGGAGCCAAAGTCTTTACAGTCAGTTTCATACGAACACATTCAAACAAATCTACTGAACCCCAGGCAGAAAAGCACGAATGAAACTTTTCTGCAGGTAAAAAAGATGTCTTTTAACAGGGGGCCATAGTCCAAAGGCAGCAGGCGAGCAACCAGGCTTCTCCAATGCAATGTGGCGAGATTGGTCTCGTCACAGCGTACATACCAGGGTCGCATGGGTCACGTCTGCGACCGGGCCCGGCCCACCAGGGGGCCCGGCCGCCCCTGCGACCTGGTATGTACCCACGAGGCTGGCCCTGCTGACACCCGGCAGGCGCGAGGGAGCACTTTCCCCTGAGTGCTTCCTCTTTAGCTCCCTCGCGCACCGCACTGATACTGGAACCGGATGATGTCATCTTCACGGATCAATTTTCGCACCGGGGCCCCATGGGTCATGTGTACGCCACTGAAAAGAGGAATGCTATTTTCTGGGGTTGCTGAAAAACTGTCCATTTTTTCGATACATTATCACATATTCAACATCTATCTGAAATAGTAGCTGTTATTATGCATTGATGGCAATTTCTTCTTCTTATTATTCTTATTATTGCCATTTCATCTTCCTATAGGGAACCACTGTATTCCCCATGTTAACCACTGTCCTGAAGGATGAGAAGTACTTCCCGGATGCTCAGAAGTTTGACCCGGGCCATTTTTTAGATGGAAATGGTTCTGTAAAGAAAAATGATGCCTTTATGCCATTTTCAATAGGTAACTTTTAAAATGTGTTTAAGAGATACACTGTTATTTTTCTTTTTTTAGGCTCAGTAAAAATGAAGTTTGCCTTTATGCTGTTGATGGTTTGGTGGATGGGAGCGGGTCTCTAGACAGGGATGGGGATAGGACCCAAATAAAGGTATTTACAGCTAGGAGTGGCTAAATGCAAAGATAAGGATGGAGGCTTGGGTGGAGAGATAAGGATGGGCAAAGCAGACATGTGTTGTATACATTTTAAAAAGTTTGCCAACCAAATTCACCCACAATATTAATTAATTAGATGTACATACTTTTATGGAATATATTTAACGAAAATAACAAACTGCATGCACAGAAAATTACAGTGGTGAACTACAGGTAAAGATGGTAGCATTGTTATAATAAAAATATTAGAGTATCACAGATTACAATAAATGAGATGGGGTATCTTCATCAGTATCTGAATGTTTGCTGGGTGAAATGGGAATTCATTTTCTCATTTTTATTTTGTTTTATATATTTTTTTTTTTTATAACTCATTGTTTGTTGTTCCTCCAGGAAAGAGAATATGTGTTGGAGAGGGTCTAGCTCGCATGGAGATCTTTCTGTTCCTCACCTACATCCTACAAAAGTTTAATTTGGAATGTAACATAAAGGCTGAAGATATCAATATCTCCCCTATACCTTTCAGACTAAACTTCGCACCACGACCCTATGAGCTCTCTGTGAACCTGCGGTGACCAAAGCCAGGCCAAAATGGATCACAGTGCTTCCATGGGAATCGGTTTTAGGGGCTCTGTGTCATTATTTTTATTTTTTTTATAAAGTTACATGATGAATAATCTGTTTTTAAAAGGTTTCTTTAGTTATTTTGTACAGTCTAATAGACCATAATGAGTTTTTGGATTCTGGAAAGATTCACGTTCAATGTAAAGATCTGTATAGATAGGGTATTTTAGGGTAGAGGTATTTTTCCTAAATAGGATTTGCTGTCTTCCCCAGCCACTTTACTTTTCCTACCTTTTTCCTCCCCGTTTCTCCCCCCCTCTCTCCCTCCCCTCTCTCCTCCCCCTCTCTCTCCCCCGTATTACTGCTCCACCATTCCCATGTATTCAGTGTGAATGTCTGCTCCATTTACTCTAATATAGATCATGAAGAAGGACTTCGAGCATTGAAATATTTTTTTTTTTTTTAATACATCCTCTTTTGCCGATGGGACAAGCTGACTGCTAACTTTGTTTTGCACATTTTATCCTTCATACAAACTTTTTTAGTTTTGACAATTGATTTTTATCTTCAGCTGGGGGAATGGTAATGGGGGACAGCTTTGCACCTTTATATGCTAAACATTTCTGGTGACTTTTTGGTACTCACCTAGGATTTCTCCTGATTGTGGCCAATCACATGACTGCCAGATTCATCTCATTGAGTACATGTTGGGTTGTTTGACTACCTCTGAAATTGAACCATCAAGTTGCCCAGAGTATATTTTTACCACCTAATGGCTTCGGACACACAAACTCCTTAATGAAATTTAATACACTAACCAGGGGGATTGGTAATTAAAGCAGGACCTTCCACTATTTATCAGTGGGTTCACTTGCACTCTGCGCTTAGTTCATGCTTTACTATTACTTTTTATACTATCTATGTATTATTCTTTTTATTTATTTTATTAATTTGATTAATATTTGCTCTGTTATATGTGCTTCATTGATTTTCCAATCCACTGAACTGGTTGTTTTTTTTTTGTTTTTTTTTAAAGCATTATTGATACGCTTTATTTTCATGGGTGGGTCCATTGTACAACCATTACTACTTTTTAATTTACTTTACCACCACACATTGAGAGTAACAGATTCTAGTTATTGTGTTTTAGTAGATATAATTGGCATTCCCCCTTTCCCTGTCTAGTGTTTCTGCTATCGGTAGTAATAAAATAAAGTTTATTGTTTGAATGTTAATAAACCTCCACAACTTCTTTCGTATTCCATATTGTTAATGGATCTTCCAGTGTGAGGACAGATTTGGATTAGTAAAGTTACATGGGGAGATGCATAAAGATGTCACTGGCAAGAAACCAGTGCAGTCATTAAGGACATTTCATTGGTTTCCATGGAGACTGCCCCACATTTAAAACTTTGCAACAAAACCTATTTTTTTATTTTTATTTTTAACTTCTGGCATTTGATTTAGTAATAAACCAATAATTACCCTTGGTCTACAATGACCTGCCGTGCATTCTACAACTTCTTCGAACAATAGTTTAGACCGCTATTCTTTAAGTCTGTTTTACAAACAGTCATTTAGTTTCTGTATTTCACAGTACTATCTATTGAGTTTTGCGTTATCACTGTATTCATCTGAAGATTGTGTTATCAAACACTGTCACTTGTGTTGAAAGGGGATTAGTGTAACAGTTTAGAATAACAGTTGCTAATCGGCAACTTGATGGTTTTAGGTTTAAAAAAGCCGACACATTCCTGACCCATCTCCTAAATAGCTATGTGTTTTCCTTTTACTCTACTTAGGGATTTTTGTTTGTTTAACCCCTTAAGGACCAAACTTCTGGAATAAAAGTTTAAGCATGCGTGGGATAGGCATAAGGCTATCCTAACTATAAGATAAGACTAGGGACTAATGAAAGTATTTAGAAAATTGGGCAGACTAGATGGGCCGAATGGTTCTTATCTGCCATCACATTCTATGTTAAAAGGGAATCACGGCATGTCACACATGTCATGTGTCCTTAAGGGGTTAAAGCACTATTATATTTTAAAGTATTCAGGAATAAATGTTCAGTTATAATTTATCCTGCTAATATGTATATATTTATTGCAGTGGTTACCAACCCAGTCCTTAAGTACCCCCTAACAGTCCAGGATTTAGGAATTACCCAGAAAGAAAAACAAGAAAAAACACTTTAGACATAACAGGGTAATCCCTAAATTCTGGACTTGTAGCATAGGGATAATGTCTTCGATTTAGTGGGAGCAGATCAACATCGTTCTAGTAAGAGCTGTGAGGAGATGTGATTGGGTGTGGGTGGATGTAAGATGCCCTTTGCAGAGATTGTACTTTTAAGTTGCAAGTTCAAAAATATGGTGTGATTAGGGAGGGACCGGTAGGATACCCAGATTGTAGGGTTTGGAACGGTAGGGTACCCAGATTGTCAGTTAGTTGCCCCATCTGGGTGACACCCGAAGACAGCCAATCTGCTTGGGGGTTGTCTGGCAACATGGCTCGTAGAGATGCCTGATGGAATTTGGTATGGAATTTGAGTTTGTAGCCCATCGAGGAGAGGTGTTCATCCCAAATTTGTATGGTCAAGAGAGTCATGGGAAGTAGCTTGGGTAGCCCTGTCCTGAGGGGTTTAGGTATCCACATGTATTCTGCTAGCTGGTGATTGTGGAATTGAGCTCTCTCCATGTCTACCCACTGCAAGGTGTCTACTGGTGCATACAAGAATATTCCTGCAGTCAGTATAGCGGCTTTAAAGTAAAGCCATAAGTTAGGCGGGCTTACGCCACCCAGCTGGGGGATCGTTGTAAGTGGGCAAACGATACATGGGGCTTTTTGCCACTCCAAATGATGGAGTTACAAACAGATTACAGGGAAGAGCAGTGTGTTCGAGGGATTGAGAGTGGTAGCATCGTAAAAACATAGAGAATGCGGGGGAGCAGCATCATTTTATATGCATTCACTCTCCCCAACCAAGTGAGTGTGAGGTGTTTCCATTTGAAAGTCTCTCCGTTGCACATATTTTGTAAGTGGGTATAATTAAGTGTTACAGTGGTTTGGATGGAGGGGGCAATATTTACGACTAGGTAGGTAAGTGACATGGTTCCCCAATCAAAGGGATATGATTGGATCAGCACGGCTATTATTTGAGGGGGTAGGTTAATGGGGAGTGCCTGTGTTTTGTGTTGGTTGAGGCGGTAGTGTGAGATATCCCCGAACGTGTGTAAGAGTGTGTAATAGTGGGGCAGGGAGGATTCCAGTTTAAAAGAGCTATAAAGATATCATCAGCAAATAAAACTAAGCAGTATTCCTTCCCCCAACATCGAAATACCAGTGATGGCAGGGTGTGATCGGATTTCCAAGCTAGGGGCTCCAGTGATAGGATGTACAGAAGTGGGGACAGGGGACAACCCTGGCGGGTTCCATTGGTAATGAAGAAGGTCTCGATGAAAAATCCCCCATGGGAAACCTTGTCAGCCGGAGCCACGTATAAAGACATGATATGGTTACGTAGGGAAAATTAAACCTGGCCAGTACACTGCACATGTGGGACCAATGGAGTCTGCTGAAGACCTTTTCTGCATCCAATGCTACAAAAAGGCCCCCGACACCTCGCCTCTCCATGCCTGCCAGGATGTTCAACATCTTGCTGGTGTTATCAGAGCCAAGGCGTCCTTTAATGAGCCCATGGTAGGGAGGGGGCAACCTGGCTCAGGCAAAAACAGAAGCTCAAGGGAGAAAATGGTGGGTGTACTCATCCTTTGACGTGATCCCAGTCCAGCCACAAAGGCAAAGGCATCGGAAACAGAATAGAGTCCTGAAAGTTCCTAAGTTCCTAACTCTGGTCTGGCAGTTGACCTCCAGGCCTCCGTTAGCCCTTGCAGGGTGACTTGGAGTGGGTCATAGGGGCCTGAGTCCATTCCCTGATCACTCAGGTAGGGCCTG